GGGCATGTCGGCGAGGTACACGAGCCTCGATCGGGCATCCGCGGGTATCCTCGATCACGATCGCGAGTTCGTGCCGATACGGGATCCGCGTGAACGTAGCCGCGATCGTGGACTCTACCTGGAGGATGAGCTGTACGGATCCAGATCGGCCAGGCAAAGTCCGAATCCGCACATGCTGCGTGACAGCGGCGGATACATCGGAGAGCTCCAACACCAGAACAACGATCTCCAACGAGAGCTCGGGAACCTCAAGAAGGAGCTCGAGCTGACGAACCAAAAGCTCGGCAGCTCGATGCACAGCATCAAGACCTTCTGGAGTCCCGAGCTTAAGAAGGAGAGAGCGTTGAGGAAAGAGGAGAGCACCAAGTACAGCCTCATCAACGAACAGCTGAAGCTGCTCAACTCGGAGAACCAGGTCAGTCGACTGCGGACCTTTCTTTCTTTAACTTTCAACCTCTCGCGCTGGAATTGCCACCCTTTTACCTTCCATTTCGCCTACGAATAACTCGTCGTACTACCAGATATCTCTTTGTGACCACGAAATTTCGCGAAACGCGGAGATAACGAGTGTACCGTGTCGATCGACCTCGTCGTTTAGACTCGTTTATATTCCTTTTTCATGGAAACGAAATTCGCTGAAAGTGCAGTGGGAATACACGAGAATTTGTACACGTAACCGGAGGTAACTCTCGTGGATCAATTTGCAGCGCCAGAGGTTAATATCGAATTGTCCCAGTTGCATCACGTTCCAATTCCATTTTCTGCAAAAGTTAAGTGTCGAGATCGATGCAATTTGGCAGTCGTTAAAAATAGAAAACCCCGACGAAGGTTACCCCGAGAAGTGTCGAATCTTTTCAATGTTGCATAAAGCGGCGAAAGAAAATTTTGCTAAAATAACTGGAAGACCTTTCGTCTAACCCATTTACCCAGCTCGGTAATAAATCGTGAGCCCACGACTCCATAATAAACGCTGAAAGTTTGCACGCCAGAACACCCTCGGTGCGTTGGTTACTCGTGACCCGTTTCGATGACGTTCGCGCTTGGAATTTAGGTCGAAGCGATTAGGCTGCTGTCTCCGTACCGTATCGAACTAGAGTTTTTCGCAAAAACCTCCTGCGTCTCGACATCGTCTTTTCATAAATCATTGCAGTGCACGATGCTGAAAAGGCGAAATGTCAGTGGGTTAACCGAAGTAACTGCAGTTGCGTGGGACGAGATACTCGATTGTCTCTGGAGGAACACGTCTATCGATCAACCGAGAATCGCGTAACGCATTCTTCGGCATCTGATCGCTTCTTCTTGCTGCGATAAGACTCGCTATTGATTGGCCAAAAATGCGGCTCGAAGGTGGAGCCACCGATGAAACCGCGTTTTCGAACGGTGCCACTGAACGGCTGTCAAGTTTTTTTCGAATCGATAGAGGATCGATCGTCGCCGGAACCGGGTCTGGGTTAAGGAGGATCTTCTGGCCATTCACAATTGGCATCGCAACAAGTCCGACTTGAAGTTTCGTACGATGCGTTTTCTTCGGACGGGTCATGCACGCATCGTCTTCCTCGAGGACGACGGGTCGGATCAATATGTTCGCTGTTCGCGAAGCCCGTCACGTATTTATATAATGAAGCGTCGTGTCGAGTCGTTAACGAGCTGTACGCCTTTCAAGGGTAGCTTCTTTTTTAGGAATCAGGCTAACTCTGATTGACACGGACTCTGTAATTGTTACGTTGACAGGTTGGACTTCGATCATGATTATGTCACGTGATCGTCTGTAGGTTTATGATTCTTGATTGGCTAATTTAATTCTATCATCGTGAACGACTCACGTTTAGGTGATGAGCAGTGGAAGTTTTATAAATTGTCTCTAGGTCAAGTTTCAAAGCTCTACTAGAGAGAGTTAAAATTTTGGGATTAAAAAATCATACACTCCATGGTAAATTTAACTCGGTTGTTGTTCATCAATGCTGCCAGTTCGTCAGCATTGGTTGGCCTAGCATATTTTTGGCCGCGGCAAAGACGTCGTGGCACATGAGTCATTGCCACCGAGACCAGAAGAATCTCGGGAAGTCAGATTCCCTGGCTGTCTGCCCACATTTATTTATTTCCTTTTTATCCGTGTCTAGGGAGCGATTCTCTCATATGGCGTAGACGCTCAGCCAATGTTTGTAACAGTTTAATCAGCAGTTCCTTCAACAGATCAATCTTTACTTCTATCGTGTATCTTTACGAAGATTGCCAAGTTTCTGAATTCCCAAAATTTCACTGCAGTACTAAAAATTCCCACGTTGCGAAATTCTCGAGTTTCCAAATATCCAAGTTACCAAACTTCACCCCCGAACTCTCAATTTCCCAAATACCCTCGTCCTCCACACAAAACCGAGAACCACCCATCAGACGTGTAAATTGCATTATCCGAGAATTACTCAGCGATATCGCGCCATAATAATCAATCTCCTTAACGAACAACGACGCGAATGTAGGAATGGTTGATGTATGACGTTGGATTCGGTGTATTAAAAATTCCGTTTAAAATGCTGTTTGTTTCCGCGGCGAATTGCATGGAATAGCAGTAGCTCGGATCTAATTGCTCACTTGACATGGTTCCTGGTGAATGAAAAATTAGTTGTTGATGGCCACTCTTCTACGTACGGACGACGACGTTTGTCAACGATCGTTAAGCCGCGTTTCCACGCGTACCACATAAGGCTGCTGCAATGATTTCCGAAGGCAGTCTGTTTTCATTTGAAAAAACGAATTCCCGTTATCGAGCTTCTTGCACGAGTGCTTTATTAAACGACGAACAACTCTGACATTTCTATTGTAACGAGTTACAGAAAGAAAAGCTTTTTCATTTACTAATGCTGAGCTACGTTCTTTCGTTAATTTATGGACAAATTTTGATGTTGTGGTTAAATGATAATTTTACACATGACAATGATTAGTAATTTACGAGGATAGTGTTTAAAATATATTTAGGTATAAGACAGAGGAGAAGGTATGTTTAATAAATTATATTAGGGGTGTTGGCTGAGAGAAAATGCGAGGAGAAGACTTTTGAGCAGAAATCGTTTATCTTGCAATTGAGTGTAGTTTCTCAATTCGAGAATCGTTGATCTATCGTCAGCGATCTGCACGAGCACTCTAGAACTCAATTTGTGGTCGCACTCGGTCCGTATCGCATCGCCTGTTCACCTATCGACGGAAAGGGCAGTGCTCGAATCAAATGGACATTGAATGAAAACTAGGTCTTGTGTCATTTGCACTCAAGAACCTGATTGCTTCGGAGATTCGATTGCTATCAAACTTCAATGTATTTCGGGACTGAACCTGCCCTCCACTCTTTCGTTAATATTTTAATCCATAAATATCACATTATATTTAATTGCTATTTTCAGATTATAAACTTGAGTTTAGTTCGTAGTTGCAAACTGTTGAAAATCGTATTCATCTCAAGGAAAGTAGAACGATTTTTAACTATATATGACAGTAGAGTAGCTGAAAATATTTTTATTTTATCATTTACGAACTTTAGAA